GGAAAAGAAGGGCTCGGATTGATCGCAGTGCACACACCTATGATTTCCGCAATGATTGATTTTGGGATGAACTCTGATAAATGTTTTACTTAATGATGACTTGAGGTGTTTAAAATAAATTGTATCAATGTTTTAGCTATATTAAAAATAAAATTTTTACCCTTGATTTTTGGGTCGTTACACGAGCTTAACCGCTCATCCATAATCTTCAGAATGCCCTCTTTAATCGTACCAAAGATCACACGCTTATTAATATATAAGTTATATGAAACGGGTATTGCAAGTGGAGGCTGAAAAATGATGAACTATAGGGTTAATGGTCTTTAAATACTCCAGAAAAAAAAACCTAAAAACGCACAACCCACTGGTTCGGAGGCACCCTGCGCTCCTTAAAGGGCTCTCCGTGCTTCTCAGATAAAATTATGGATGTTCAGTTTTCAACGAATTATTCAAACAATCATAAGTTGTTCGTTCTAACTCCGTTTTCAGTGATCTTTATATGCACACGAATGTATTGACATGCCCCAGAGTTCTATCTAATTACATTTAACTTAAATCATTCAAAACTTAATTTATTAATTAATACAAAAAGTCTAGAATATTACTTTTTTTGCATTCCACCATTTGGCTCCAAAATAGAATTCAAGAGCTTAAATCACCTAACCAACATTATCAACATCTAATAAGGTTTAAACTTTATTTTCTTGAAGCCCAAGACCTTTACACGACCAAATTACGTCCGCTATCCCGAAATTAGAAAATCCAGAAACTAGGTGTGGCAGTCCATTGTTATAGCCACCACAAACTACCATGACCATGACCGATCACGAACCACTGGAGTGGCGTTCACGGACCATGGTCATTGCCACGTAAACCACAAATCCCTCCGTTGAAAGTACTCCGAATGGCCATAGATCTATAAAATAAAATTTTATAAAAATGAATATTTTACATATTAATAGATTTTTTCAATAAAATTAAAATGAAAGATTAATAATGGATAATAACTTCTGAGGGTAACGAACTTTCAATTTTGTTCACATTTAATTATTTTTCTTTTTGTATATATATCCGGTCACAATGATATTTTTTAACACAAATTAAATTCACTAGTAAATTATGTACGTAAAAAAAAAAAGTAAAAACTCGTTACCAATCATAAGTCATTTTCCCAGGTTCATCTATTTTACTAAGGTCTTTTTTTTTTAATTTTAATTTTTAAGATGCTTCATGTTAAGCAAATGTAACATTTTTATGAACCTGGTTTCACATCATAGCCGTGAAACATTTAAGAATCATGTCGACTTTGCATGTCTTCACAAGGACAACAAAGCCTTCAATACGGAATGTTCTCTTTGTTATTATGTATGTGTCATCGTTTTAGTGTTTGTTAGTTTTAGGTAACTCGACATGATATACATTATCTGCAACAATTTATTTTTTTCTTTGTTGTCCATGTATGCATAAAACTTTAGTTCCTGGATTGAAACTCTTTGTCCTTTATGTACTTTTTCCATTGAAATTTAGTGGCTACAAAATTTTGACCAAACAATACACAAATACACTAGTTATGCCATGATCCCACCATTGTTTGTCACTAGCAAATCTCAGCTTCACATTTTATAAGTGTTGTCATGTTCCAAAGCCGTGTGTTCATTTCTTAATGATGGTGTATACAAATGTTGTCGACAATTGGCTAATAATCCAAATGTAAATATAAAGGTTATAGTATAAAAATAATGGAATAATTTTGTAAAATTTTATAGGTGTAATTTAAAAAGTTATTATAATTTGAGTTAGTTAAAAATTACAAATTGCACCACATAATAAGGTTTAACAAATTTATAACATGCAAACTGCTCCATAAAAATTTAAATAATGTTATGTAATATGATTTGGTGCGGTATCAATACAATATAATAAATGTCGTACTAAATAGTGTCTTGATGAACCGGTTTTATTATAATAAAATACGTGAATCTCCGCATATTACATGAATATATAATTATATAGTTAAAATAATAATTATTAACAAATTATTACTTAAAATAAATATAATTTCTTAAAAATAATTAATAAACACAACAATTAATTAAAATAAAAACACTTCACTACTTAAAAAAAGATACATAAAAAAATCAAGATTTAAAAAAAAAACCTAAAAAAACCAAGATTAATAAAACTAAACTTAGATTTAAAGAAAAAAAACCTAGAAAACATAATTAAAAATTACATAATATCCGAATTTGAAAAAAATACGTCACTCAGAATCATCATCCTCGACTTCATCATCGTTATCCAAATCTCCGTCCGAGTCCTCAACGAACATATCTGAATCTTCATCTGATTCATCAAAAAAATCATCTCGCCAATACTCTATCTGGAGTTGTATGTGAGCCCTATAAACGTGCTCCACCAAATCCGCACAAAGGGAGTGATGAATGTCGCGATCATGTACTTCTCTTCTATTTATCCTATACTCGTGCGTACCAACGACTACTCCTTCCACGTTTGACAAAAATTCGTTTTCGTTGTATCGACATATTGCTTTTCCTTCATCTTCTAGAATCATACGGAGTATTATGTAATATGATGCACACATACATTATGTGTTGCAACATTTTCACTTCATATGACCGTTCCCCTACTTGTAGTACTTGCCAACGCATCTTGAATACACCAAATGTTCGCTCCACGTCCTTCCTAGCTGACTCTTGTGCTTCCTTAAACTTTTTTCTTTTTTCGTCGTTCGAACATATGAACGTTTTCACAAAAACAGACAAGGGAGGATATATCCTGTCAGTAAGATAGTACCCGAGCTTATATGCTACCCCATTTGCTTCAAACATTACATCGCATGACTTTCCAAGATAGATGTCGTTGAATACCAACGACTGGTCTAGAACATTGATATCATTGTTTGCACCAGCTGGGCCAAAGAATGCATGTCATATCAAAAGATCATGTGACACGATTGCTTCTAGAACAATCGCTGACTCTTCATGGTCGCCTCACATGTATTGACCACGCTATGCGTTGGGGCACATCGCCCAATACCAGTGCATGCAATTGATACTACCTAGCATTCCCGGGAACCCATGCTTACTTTCATGCACTGTGTACAATTGGTGGACATCGTTGATTTTTGGTTTGCACAAATATTGTTGCCTGTAAAACCAAAGTAATAGATTTCGAGAAATTGTACGCACTTTCCCGTGTGGTACGCTCAGACATCCTCAAATATTCATCCCATTTGTCTGCACCCATGCCGTATGCTAACTGACGAATTACGATTGTGCATTTTTGATTTGGAGAGAAACCTTTTCTGCGTCTAGCATCCCGCTTCCACTGGAAATATGGAAAAACGGCATTCCAAATCGCCAACAATACGTAAAAATAACTCCTTCCCCATCCGGAACCGCCGTCAAAACTTTTCAGCGTAGACGTCGTCATTTGCAAAATAGTATTCTATAAGACGATTGTGTCCGACTTTTCGATTTCTCCGCAACTAAGGGTTTCTTGTTTGAGATCGTGGACGTGAACTTTGACATTGTCAGTTTCGAAAATACGTCATAGTTTTTGCCATGACGGGATCGACAAATAATGTCTCTTCTTGAACTGTCGAATTAGAGGACGAAGAAGACGACATTGTGTTTTAGCGGGTTTATTGAGAGAATATGTAGAAATAAGTGTGAAAATTAAGTTAAGTTGGGTTGATATTCATAGGGTGATGAATGATCTATTATTATTATTATTTTTTTAAAAATTAAATGTTTATAGATGTTGAAGTTAGAAATAAAAAAAAAATCAGAAAAAAAATTGGCCAATAAGGTGAAGAAAGAGGAGGCGAGATAGCCTCCCCCTCGGACCGACCCCACACCACCCAAACCGTGGTGGCGGTGTAGTGTTCCGGCTGCAATTCCCCTTCACGTACCCTCTTTCTGTTCCGCTCCGTATAGTTTTAAGTCTATTATAAGTCAAACTGTAATATTATATTATAACTTCTTTTCGAAATAAAAACTTTATATTTTCTTGATTTTATACGATTTGCAATATTTTTCTTATCTCATCAAACCTATCATCAACCCCTTTTCTGAATTTTAAAGTTTATATGAGATATCACAAAAGAAAATTGTTTGATAAGAAAAGTACATTTAGAATTGCCGACATAGAACCCGGTCACGTTTTAAAATGTATCATCATATACAACATGAGTGTTAGGTTTGCTTTTGATAATCACGAGGCTTTAGTTTATATAATACGTTACATTTTGGTTTATTTTTCTGTTAAGGATCTAGTCATTACTAAATTCTATGGATTTTATCATACTAAAAAACAAAACAGAGGTTGAAAATAAAATATGTAAAATATTTAAATAGCCAAGCACATGTCCTTACAATATTTTAAGGAGTGTCTAAATTTTGACTACATTATAATAAAACTTTATTATAAACATTATTTACAACAATTAAATTATCAGCAAACTTTATTAAGAAGTGTCTAAACTTTATTTACAATAATTAAGTTATCAGCAAACTTTATTAAGGAGTGTCTAAACTTTATTATAAACTTTATGATCACACTTAAGAAAACATTTTTTAATATTATACATATGCACATTGATAAATATTTGATAGCAAATTAAAACACCTTTATGTAAATGACTAATTATTCATTTGGTTGAAAATATTTATCTATACAAAATTAACCCTCAAATTTATTGGATGGATAGCAATTTACTCATTATTTTATTTCACATTTTTTTGGAGGATATGCCAAGAATCTTCCGGCAAAGTCGAGAAAATAGAGACTAACCAAAGAACCTATAGAAACTAAACGTATTTCCACGTAATTATCGATTTCATCCTAGGGTCCCACCAAAGAACCTATAGAGACTAACCACGTCAGCAAGAAAATCCTATATCCACATGGGACGCCACGTGTCAGCAACAAAGTTGGGCTTAAACCCAACAAGAAGATACCGGAACGAAACAAATTCTCATCAACCGTTAATTTCTCAGCCAACCCTTTTTCCCAAACACACACAACACGACACACGAAACACGGCTTAATCGGTACACCTGCAAACCTCTCATCGGAATCTCCATCGACTTATTGATAAGATGATAAACTTCAGGCCGTCGGAGACTCGAACCTCCACGACGAGTTCATCCGTGACTGCGGAGAAAGCGTTTTCGTTCATATCGAAGGGATGGAGAGAAGTGAAAGATTCGACTGAAGCGGATCTCCAGTTGATGAAAGACAGAGCGACGTCGTTCAAGAACCTTGCGTCTTCGCTTGATCGGGAGTTTGAGAATTTTCTTACTTCTGCGTCAAGATCGACGTTTCCGGTAGCTGCTATCGCGAATTCTTCGTCTCCGACTCCGGCGGAGATTGATTTCGTGAAAAATTTGCAGCCGAAGCTTTCTGAGTTCCGTCGAGCGTACTCTTCACCGGATTTTAGTAAGAAAGTTCTGGAAAAGTGGAGCCCTAGAGCTAAGATTAGGATCGATTTGTCGGCGATAAAGAATGCTATAGTATCGGAGGTGGAGGAAATTGATGAGAGAGAGAGGTATAGAAGGAGGTCGAGGACGAGGGTTGGGGATTTTAGCTGGGAGTGGAAAGGAGAAGGGATTGGGGACGCCGAGGAAGGGCAGCTTTCTCGAAATTGGGAGCCGATTAGGGCATTGAAAACGCGGTTACGGGAATTGGAACAGAAGAGTTCGTCTTCAGAGATTATCGAAAGCCTCAAGAACAGTGAACTAGTCGAGAAAGTTAAATCTACTCTGGTAAGTTTCCCAACTTTTTTCCATAGAAGCAACATGTATGCTAAAATTGCCAGAATGTTTTGCTGTTATCAGTTTCGTATTCTTTTCTCGTCACAAAAAAGGCCACAACGAATTATATATCAGAACTTGAAATTAATCTAAAAATGAAAACACTCAATATCAAAGAGTTTAGGTCATCACTCAACTTTGCTGAAAGATGTAATGTCAGTTATTTAGGGATCTCTCTATGAACACACCTGAATACATGCTTTAAAGTACTTTATTCTTGACTTATTGAAGCTTTAAACTCCTTAGGATTCATCTCTGTTGAATTCAACCCCTTTTCTTGTTATGCCTTTTCTTACATGCTTTTTCCATTCTTCTTGCAGAAAGCAATCTGTAAGGAACCAGAGTACTCAAAGGTATGGATCTACATCTATTAAATTCTCCCCTTGTATCATTCAGCTTAATATCACTCTATTTTTTCCATTAATTGAAAATTTTTATGCTAAATATTCTGTTCATTTCACTTCGATCTCCCAGGAAGTCCCACCTTTAGATTTCCAAGAACTTCTGGCATGTCTAGTTAGACAATCCGGGCCATTTCTAGATCACCTTGGTGTCAAAAAAGGTAATCAAACTCAAAATTTTCCAATAATCTAGTTAACTTTTCCCAAAATAACACTAATAATCAAGTTATAACATATGTGCAACAGATATATCTGACAAGATAGTTGAAAGCCTATGCAACAAAAAGAAAAACCAACTTTCATTGAGGTCATTTCCCACAGGAGAATCATCCATTCTTGAAGGCGATAACATAAACGATGAACTCGATTTAAGAATAGCAAGTGTGCTTCAAAGTACAGGTCATCATTACGATGGTGGGCCATGGGATGATGTCAGCAAACGAGATGGAAAAAGACACGTAGCCATTGTTACAACTGCTAGTCTCCCATGGATGACAGGAACAGCTGTCAATCCCTTATTTCGTGCAGCATTCTTAGCAAAATCCCAAAAACAAAGTGTCACACTTTTAGTCCCTTGGCTCACCCAAACAGATCAAGAATTAGTCTACCCAAATAATATTACATTCACCTCCCCTGAAGAACAAGAAGTTTACATTCGCAACTGGCTCAAAGAAAGAGTAGGCTTCAATGCCGATTTCAAAATCTCATTCTACCCCGGAAAGGTACATTTTTGGTCCCTGACTATATCTGATGTATTCAGTTTTGGTCCCAAAAAGTTTTCTGTTCGTTATCTGAGGTTTTTGTAATGTTTTTTTTTTACAGTTTCAAAAAGAAAGGCGAAGTATAATCCCAGCTGGCGATACTTCAAAATTCATTTCATCAAAAGATGCTGACATTGCAATCCTTGAAGAACCAGAACATTTAAACTGGTATCACCATGGTAAAAGATGGACTGATAAATTCAATCATGTTGTTGGAGTTGTTCACACAAATTATTTAGAATACATTAAACGCGAAAAAAATGGCGCCCTACAATCCTTTTTTGTCAAACACATAAACAATTGGGTCACACGTGCCTATTGTGACAAGGTACACAGTCTTTTAATTCCATTTTCTTCAACATTATTCATCTTCAAACACCTAATTTATATCTTTTTTTTTGTGTTTTTTAAGGTTCTTCGGCTTTCGGCTGCAACTCAAGATTTACCTAAGTCAGTTGTTTGCAATGTTCATGGAGTGAATCCAAAGTTTTTGGAAATCGGGGAGAGAATGTCGGCTGAAAAATTCTCGAAGGGGGCGTATTTTTTGGGGAAAATGGTTTGGGCTAAAGGATACAGGGAGTTGATAGATTTGTTATCCAAACAGAAGAATGATCTTAATGGGTTTAAAATTGATGTTTATGGAAATGGTGAAGATGCTAATGAAGTACAAATCGCTGCAAAAAAATTAGAATTAAATGTCGATTTTATGAAAGGTCGTGACCATGCTGACGATTCTCTTCACAGGTAACATAACTTTTTTTTTTAAATTATCAATTTACTTTAAAAACATAAAAATGATAACATGAAAACTTTTTTTTTTTTTTTTTGTTGCAGTTATAAAATCTTTGTAAACCCGAGTGTGAGCGATGTCCTCTGCACAGCAACAGCTGAAGCACTAGCGATGGGTAAATTTGTAATTTGTGCAGACCACCCTTCGAATGAATTCTTCAGATCATTTCCCAACTGTTTAACCTACAAAACTCCTGAGGAATTTGTGAATAAAATTCGGGAAGCAATGTGTAGTGAGCCACACCCGTTGACACCAGAACAGAGATACAATCTTTCATGGGAAGCAGCTACACAAAGATTCATGGAGTTTTCAGATCTTGACAAGATTCTGAATAATAATAATTTGGAAATGGAAGGTGGTGTTAGAAAGTCAAAATCAGTTCCCAATTTGACTTCTGTGGTGGATGGAGGGTTGGCTTTTGCGCATTATTGTTTGACTGGGAATGAGTTTTTGAGGCGGTGTACGGGTGCGGTTCCTGGGACACGGGATTATAGTATGCAACATTGTAAAGATCTTCGGTTGTTGGCCCCACATGTGGAGAATCCTATTTATGGTTGGTAAATAGATGGAAAATAAAATTGGATATTAGGGTTTGTTTATATATTGGTTGATATTTGATAATGCCTAACCACACTTTACTTTGTTGCTAGTTAGTGTAGTTGGATATTAGGGTTTATATATTGGTTGATTCTGTCCGTATAGCGTTGGTGAACACATTAGGTTTTTGTTTGTTTACGTGATTGGAATTTGTCATTTGTGTGCTATTATAGATTTGTTTTGTAATTATTGGTATGTATATTAGATGAATGTTATTTACTTTTTGGATCACTAATCTCACGACAACGTCTGTTAAGATAAAATGATTTTGCAACTCGTAATATAAGTTACAATTGGTCAAGTTTCTGAATTGTTGGTCATTTTCACTTTTTGTCTGAAGAGGTTATCAAAATGTTAAGTACAACCAAAAAGATGTGGTTATTTTAGTGGATATCACTAACTTTTGAAAGCCATATAATTGTAAGTCTTATAATTTGCTCTTATGTATTAACTTAGTGAAGCTCAAGGTGTGTTATGACAAAAGTTAAATAAACAAAAGATTCGATCATGCATTCTCAGATGAAATGGTCACATTGTTCTTGTACATTTTACAGCTGTATAATCATTTTTTTTTGTTAATACTAAAAAATTAAAAATCACATCAATTATATAGTTACCATGAATATTAATTAATTTGACTAATGTAAAAACCAAAATTCGTTATTAATTTATTATATTTAGTTATAAAAAACCCATCCAACGATTTTAGAAATTGCCAGAAAGATGTCTTTCAACTAGATGTTAAATGTTGAGTGTTCAAGACGTGACGAATATATATATATATATATATATATATATATATATATATATATATATATATATATATATATATATATATATAATGTATGTGAGGAATTTACCGTTCTAAAAAATTATTATAGAGTCAAAGAAGGGTTTGATATGTGTAGTCGTTCCTCTTAAATACTTGTGGTAAGTAGCAATATTTGAAAATTTCATATAATTTCATTAAGTAACGCATGACGTGGCAAACATGGCGGGTTCTAATCTCTGAAGGACAAAATGTAACAGTTTGAAATGTGAAGGAGGCAAATTGGCAAAATATGAAACAACCCACGATTTACGACTAGAAACTAGAAAGGCCTCGAAGCTGTTTTATGGGCCCCGTTAACTCCAACTTTGACTAGAAGATTCGGTGTTTACTGAATAGTGGTCGACGTTGTATATTTTTTTCTATTCTCTTTTCCATGCATTATTTTTACTTTTTTGGCATATTTATTCATACGTGAAACACGTTTCGTCGTTTCGTTTTTTTTTTTCGGTAATTGAATATATAATTATATATAGGCATATCCCAAAAGTAGATTGGATCGATGAAGTATATAACCAATGGGCAATTTGCAAGTATCTAAAATAGGTTAATCGGGTGAGGTCAAGGTGTAAAAGTTATTGTTTCCCTTTCTTTTTTTAGTTTTATAAATAATTTTTATATTTTTACATTAAAGCTATGTTTGGAACATAGCCAAATAGCGGAAAAGTTGGTTGTTAATTGACAAAAAATAAAGTTTGACAAAACTAACTCATAAGCTTGAATATATAAAATAACATAATTGAATATATAAAATAACATAAAAGTACATTTAGGATAATTAGTTCTTCTATAATTAATTAAGAAAATATTTAAAATAATTTAAAAACGTTCATGAAAAATTAGTCTAAATAGTTCTTAAAAAAATAATTTATAAGTTTATTTTTGATTCGGCAAACATAACAATTTAAAAAACTTGAAAAACAAACAAGCTTATACTAGCTGTGACGTGCGCTAAAGTCTAAACATAGTCAAAATATGTTTATAAAATATATTATTAGAATAATAACTTAATTATAGTAGGTTCATGATTTAAAAGATTGTAATTAATAACTTTGATATGGTTTATCATTTTATGTGAGTTGTTATCCATAGACAATCCAAGTTAATCAGTTTAAACATAAACGAGGTTAAGATTTATCCTTTAAAAATTGTATATATAAAAGTTCAATTAGTTAGATTGGTTGGTGATCAAATATTATCCAACTTCCAAGCACCATTTCATTAGCATACGTTTTAATAGACTATGTGGACGATAGTATTTAGTTATTGTTATGATCAAATAATTATATATATTAGTGAAATTGAATGATTATAGTCGAAGTATATATAGATTTCATAAATTAACCTAAAGAGAAAAATTATACATAATCGTATCTAAGTAACATATTACTTACTCATGTTCATGTATAAATCATTTACAAATTGATCAGTAAAAATACCTAAACGGGTATCTAACTTTTACCCTGTATATCTTACGTACAAGAAACCCTAGAACGAAACTTAGATCGACAAATTATGAACCTTGATGATGTTATTCATAACTTTTTAAGATCTAAATTCCTTTTTCTTTTTGGGTTTTCGGAATCATATAATTAAGTTTTCCTTTTTTTTTCCTTCTAAGATGGATATGCAGAAATCAAATCATTAGGTATACAAGAAGATTTCTTCCAAACCCTAGAATGCATCTTTAGAATCTCCTTTGCTTTCTCCTTCATCTTGCATCCACAATCCACTTGCAACACCAAGAAAAGCTTTCCGACCACCCCCAACTGCACCATCTCCTCTAGAACACGGGCGTTGCCGGAAAACATCGCCACCGAGTACAATATTCTCACCGCCCTTTCGCTAGCCACCGACGACACACGGAAGATCTTCTTGGAAACAACCGGTAAACCACCGCCATGTTTCAACAGATCCGCCCTTCCTTCTGCAGACTGACAAAGCTGGTCCAAAACGATCATAATCATCTCGGTGAGTCTCTTTTCTGTAGTATCGAGGAGGGTGTCGATTAACACCGGAACCACCCCTGCCTCCGCCGCTTTTATCCTATTCCGCCCCCATGGACAAACGCTGATGAGTAGCTTCAGTGCTGCTTTCGTGGCTTTTTGCGAGATTTGATCAACCAAGATGTGTACAAGCTCTGTGAAGAACTGAGTGTTTAATGACGTCACCTGTATAGGCTCCGCCACCTCGAACATTGATTTTAGTAGCATGACGGCGTAAGCGCGTGACTCGAAACTGGCGGCGCGTTGCATCACCCGCGTCAACGTTACGACGAAATTTTCTGTCTTTCCGAACAAGGACTTAAGACCCGTTGGTGACAGCTTCAGATGGTAAAGGATTCTTAACGCTTCGTCGGCTTCGGTTGAAACACACCCATCGACGCCGGAAACTTCTCCGGCTCCGGTGGTTAAGATGGATGCTAGGTAATCAGCCGCAGAAACTGATTCCATCAACCGCCTGTTCTTTTCGTTCTCCATAACAATTGTTTTTAACCTTTTCAAGCTCTTCATTTGTAACTGTGGAGACTTTGAATCCTTGAGGAGCTTTACGATTTCGGTTCTGGAGATCGGAAGGCGTGGCGTCGGAAACCTCTCGATGCCGGAAGACGCGTTAATGGTGCACCAAGATTGGATCAACCGGCGAAGGGTGTGATTTGGGGTGAGCTCAATATCAACGACGACTTGTTTGGTTACCGGACAAACGTCATTCTTCTGAGAGAACAACCATTTCTCGATGCTATCACGATCATATGTGATTCCGGTGGAGAGTGTTACAGGGTCTTTCATGATCTCAAGTGAAATTGGGCACAAGAAAAACCGAGGAACTTCAACATCGTTTTCGAGATCGGTCATTGTTGTATCAAGAATTTGAACAAAAACCCAGAAATGATTTGAAGAAAGATTGGAAATTTGAGAGCTTTTTTGGTTATGAATGATGTATCTGGTTTTATTTATATATAGAGGACTTGTGAGGGGAATCAATTTTGTTAAAAGAAAAGTCAAAACACGTTAAAAGTTTGACTTTTCAACCTGCATTTGATTTTGGTCATAAATGCATGTGGGATAAAACCCAAGTGTGCGTGCTGTGTTGATTGTGTACATGGAGTGTCGCAATTAAAAACTTGTGGTACTGGTGCATCGTTACTTGGGTTTTATTATTTTAACACTTTTATTTATTATTTTATTTTATTTCTCAAAAGAAGTAATAAGAGGATTGCATGAGTTATGATTCGGGTTAAAATGAAGTATCCCTATTTGAATTTTTGTCGTCGACGTTTGTTTGTTTGTTTTTTTTTTTTTTCTATTTTGTTTTTAATTTATTATTATTATTATTGTTATTATTATTATTATAAATTTCGCATAAAATTTTAACATTTGGACGATATTATAAATTCGAATAGCTATATAAAATCTGTTTTTAAATATTTTTAATATTTTAATATTAATATTATTATTGTTATTATTAGAGTTTAGGTCACTTAACTTTTGATTTTGTGTTCATTTGGTCACTTAATTATTTTTAAGTTTTAAAAGGTCATCAAACTTTTGACTTTGTGCTCATTTAGCCACTTAACTTTTGGTTTGGTCACTTAACTTTTAGATTTGTGTTCATTTAGTCACCTAACTTTTAAAATTGTGCTCATTTAGTCACTAAACTTTTAAAAAAAAAATAAAAGCTTAGTGACTAAATGAGCACAATTTTAAAAGTTAGGTGACTAAATATGACCAAACCAAAAGTTAAGTGACTAAATGAGTACAAAGCCAAAAGTTTGATAACCTTTTAAAACTTAAAAAGAGTTAAGTGACCAAATGATCACAAAACCAAAAGTTAAGTGACCAAAAATAACCTGAACCATTATTATTATTATTATTATAAATTTCGAACAACATTTTATAAATCGAACATTATAAATTCGAACGGCTATATAAATTCGGAACAAAAGCAAAGTTTGTCTCTATTAGACTTATCCAAGTGGGAGACTGTTTGATTAGGTGTCTAAGCCCATAACTATAATTGATATGTATTTAAATTGATAGTAGCAATGTTCTTTTGGGTTGCCTTCAAACCTGGCAATTGAATAGGATAACTGTTAGAGAGCGAAGAATGATTTATTAATTTATTACTTGGTTAATAAATTAATTTGAAATCAAGATAAATGATTTATTAATGTATTATGGATATAATATATTAATTAGAAATCATATTGTTTAATTAATATTTAATCAGAAATTAATTTGGAATTAATTTTGGGATTAAAGGAATTAATTGAAACTGCAGGAACTAAAGGTGACACTGTTCAATAGTTGAACATTGAGCATTCTAGAACCTCCCTAAAGGGGGGGGGGGGGAACAAATTCTAGGGTGTTCCTAGGGTTTCCTTGGGCTCTAAGAGTGCCTTAGATGCCTTAGGGAGGAAGTTAAGGGTTAGGGTCATCTTGGATACACCTGCCTAATCCAATACCTTCCTAGCACCAATATAAACCCTCTTTGGGTTAAATTTCGGCCAATGCACTCCAAAAGGAACCTAAGGGCCGAAATTCCACTCTACTTCTCTCTCTCTAAGGTATTCATTGGTTGCTAGGTTTGTTTGTGAGCCATTAGAGGCGCGACACTTGTGGCGCTAGCTACCAAAGTTCAAGATCTTCAAGGATTTGAATGTTATTACAATATAACAATCAAGGTATGTACCCTAACCCTAATTATATGTTAATTTCGAAAATTACATGTGCCTCCTAGGGTTTCTAGTTTTTTGTGTTCAATGCTTGTATGTCTAATAGTGAAAACATAGATCCTAAAATTAGGGTTGCATGCACACATATGATTGTTTGCTATGTATGCAACCCATCACAATCAACACGCCCTGTGGGTTATGAGCAACCGTGAAGACTACCTGAAGTCTCACTCATACATAAACAACATAACACAATAATAACAGCTAGACCCAACTGGTCATCAGTCACAGATACAACTATTCTACCACACAGGTAAGAATAAGTGAGGAGACTCACCTGATACTGATGATAGATAAATCTCACACCCGAACTGCCGGAACTAGGCTCCGCCTAATAACACAATAATTAACTCTAATTAATAATTTATGTCCATAACCCAAATAACAAGCCCAAACCCCACAATTATGCTCCTTAAGGGCAAAAGACCATTTTGCCCCTTCCATGGTCCAAAACCCTAAATCTTTGACCAAAAGTCAAAGTCAGCAAAAGTCAACTGTCCAGCGCATACGCTGGGCGTACGCTCCCTACGTGTAGTGTACACGAAGAACAAGGTGAGTCAGGGTCAGGCCTGGCTATGCTGGGCGTAGCCAGAAGTACACTGGACGTACGCTGGCTGATCCAAAAAGTCATTCCACAACGTCTTAATCATTAAGACATGCAATCCAAACATAGATCTGACCTCCATAGAATGTCTTAATCCATAAAGTCCATAATTTTAAACCTTTGCATGGGTGAAATTAGCTTAAACCTCAAAACCCTAACTCAAACCATACTCAAAACCACCACACTCTTACATGGAAAGAAAGTGACCTTCAAGCAAGCATTTTTATGCCTCTAGATTACCTAAAACACATGAAATGACAGCTAATATGCTTTGGAGTGCACCATACTCACAAAGATCCAAGCTTAGAACAAAAAGCTCATAATAACCCATTTAAGAGATCTAGAAAGAAACACACCAAGGTATAAACTTTAGACCTCCAAAAGATGCACAAGGTGAGGTAGTTTCTGGATCCACAAGTTTTGCAAGCAACACCACCTTATTCAATAGACTTCTTCTTCAACAATAGAGCACCAAAACTCTATAAAGCTTCAAAATCTTCACACACAACGATGAAAATCGAGATCAGGGTTTGGAAGGTGTGGAGGCTATCTCTAAAAGGTCCAAGGGGAGGTATAATGTTGGTTAAATAAGGAGCAAACCCCTAAATTTAAGGTTTAGGAGCTGAGCTAGTACACCCTACGTACCACATGTACGCCCAACTTACTAGCATGAGTCCCGCACTTCCAAGGCTCGATCATGTACGCTGCACGTACCTCACGCACGCCCAACGTACGGGCTCAAATGCAAGGATTTTTGACACAAGAGACCAATAATGAAAACAATACCTAAAAATTGGATGATACATTTGTGCTTATGGTTGTGGATTAAATGTTTTTCAGGTACTTATCGAATTGCGAAGGCGGGACTGTACACACACCTCAACCGTTTTATGATTCGAGATTCCACATTCTCTTCTTATAACTTTGATTTTGAAATATGGTTTATGAACAAGTGGTTTGGCGTGAATGTAAATTTAATAAAAATGGGTGTTTGTTCTATTTTAAAAATAAAAATTTACTCTGGAATTTGGGACGTTACACGCCTGCGAAGTTTCTCAAGAAGCTCGATAACTGAATCAGGAGCCTTAAAAAGAGAGAAGAAAAACAAAGGCAAGCGTCCAAGAACCAAATTGACAAGAGTTAACCAACCTCTAAAAGAAAGACTTTTGGCTTCCAAGCGGAGAGCTTGGAATGAACTCTATCAACCATGGGTTGCCAATTTTTTTTAAGATTCATATTAGCACCAACCGGGAGAACTAAGTATTTGAAAGAAAAGGAGGCCTCTTCACATACAAGAATCCTAGCATAACTTGAGACTTCAGATTTAGAAACACCGATACCAAACACCTTCGACTTATGATAATTAACTTTTAAATCGGAAGTGACATAGAAGCACTTAAGAATGTGAACCAAGTTAGCAAAATTTGAGCTCACCCAATTCCCCACAAATAAAGCATCGCCGACGTAAAATAAGAGCGATAATTCGGGTCCATCTTTTGGAATTTTGAGACCTTGAAAAAGAGATATTTTGGAAGCGGTTCTCATGGCAACATTTAAGCCCTCCATGGCAATGATGAAAAGGAACGAAGATAAAGGGTCGCCTTGATGGACGCCTTGACGGATGCCTTGATGGGACCTTGATTATTAACGGTTAGTAACTGAAACGTTGATAAGAACCGAACCTCTAGAAGATGAAAGACGCCCCTTTATAAAAAAGAATCTATTTATCTCCAAAGCCCATTTGACTCATAACCGATTCTAAATATTTCCAACTTATGGAGTCAAGGCTTTGTCAAAATCAACCTTAAAAATAAACAACTAATTTTTGTTTTTCTTTTTTCGCCCACGTACACACCTCGTTAATAATCAGGGTGTCACACCCCCCAACCAGACGGCAGAAATGTACGGGGGCTTGTGCGTGACTTCATCCTCGTAGTATCATCACATAGTATATAATTGAAACATAACATCATCATCACCACACATGTAATATAACAACATACATTGTTTACATCGAGTATTGTGTTTGAATATTACATGCCAAAATAATTAAAGTCTAATGAAATAAAAAATATAACAAAACATCCATTAGTTTATTCACCCCAATCTGCTTCAACGGTTTCCTGAAAATACAAGTTAATTTAAAAAGGTCAACATAAAAATGTTGGTGAGTTCATAAGCATGTTTGAGAAAATGATTTGTATAACCTTGTAATCACAAGAAAATCCAGTATTTTCTTAAAATAGTTTAGTATGTTTGTGTCCGGTCTTGTATTAATGCATGTGTGTTATTGTTTAATAAAATGCCAAAAATGAATGAAGAGAATGTAACAAAAATGTAAAGAGAATGCCTCCAGACAACCCTATATTGTTGTAAAAAGAATGCTGGTATGTCAACCCCCGAGGTCGAGTATCGGCGCGAGTATGTTCCCGAGTAATCCAAGAGAAAATAGAATGGTCTCCCGTAAATTTATAATGTTAATTCCTCTAAGTGAGTCGTTATAACCATACTAGATA